TTGCTGCTGGCATTTGGTGGAAGGAGAGGACAGTGTGCCATTGTTACAGCAAGTTCAAGAACGATTTTGAGTCCTTCCTGACCTCACTGCCGGCTCTGAAGAAGGGCCTTGCTGATTACATTGAGCGCGAGACTAAGGCCAACCAGCTTGGATCTCTCGCCCCATCTTCGGACCCCGCTGCGGAAGCTCTTGCCAGAGAAGTGGGGTGGCAGCAAGATGCTCAAGCAGAGCAGTTTCGCGAACGCGTCCGCAGCTGCAAGTTGCCTTCGGGCCAAAGTATGAGTGGAGTGCAGGGCCTCATGGAAGTGAGCGAGCGGTTCCAGGATCTTGCGATGCAGAATGCCCGGCTGTGCAAGCGCATCCAGAACAAGCGCTCGGTTACCAAGACACGCACGGTTTATCGTCAAAAGGACAATGTCGCGGCTAAGCTGATCGGATGCGTCGCAGGAATGGGTGCCTGTGCCTTGGGGCCTGCTGCGCTTGGCGTCTCAGCCGTGGCAAACAATATCCTCACAGCCACGACTGATGACGAAAACGATGGGGTCGGGGCCGGATACCGCGGAATGTGGAAGGAAGGCGGTGCGGGTCAGAAGACTTTGGCTGCTCTTCACCACACGGGCATGAGCATGCACCCGGGACTCGCAGGCATGCGATTGGCCGAACTTGCTACTTCGGGCTTGGAAGCGGTCGAGGAGGAGTACGGAGACTATGAGCTAGGCGGCAGCGCAGAATGACGTCTGACAGTAGCACAAGATGAAGGACAAGTTACCTGGATGCTCTGATGGTATTTGAGCATTGACCGGTTTCATGAGATTGGTGGACGCCAAGTACGGCGCCAGCTTCAACGAACAATCACGGAAAATGAGCTCTTGCACCAGCCTTCTGCAGGCGACTATGTTGCAGCAGACTATAATAAAGTAATGAGTATGCCTCGGCTGCCTTGAAGACGGAGTCGGTTCTCTCCTCGCAGCCCTCAGCCTGTAACTGCGCACCAACCGCCGCTTCTACACATTGCTGCTGTTTGCAGGACTCCAGGACCGTGTCTGGGTTCGAGGAGGTGAGGAAGAGTAGGAATGCGGCCAGGCTTCAATTTCAGTGCTTCAGTCAACTTCACAGATCCGGACATAGTGTGCTGAGAACGTGGCGCTTGATATTGTGCGAGCTTGGCATCGGTGCATTTTGAGCCCACGCCTCTTCATTTCAGAGCGCTTTATTGCGCAGTCGGAGGTCACGAGCCCTGCTCGGAGAGTGTGCTTGTGCAGGGAACGCGAAAGCACTCGAATCTTGTCTCGAAGCGTGCTTTTCCGTCAGTTCACCCGCTCCCTCCCTCCCTCCCTCCCTCCCTCCCTCCGACCTCTCTTTGTTAGACGGCTGCCCAGCGAAGCTGCTCGTCTCAGCCACTGCTTCGGAGCGAAGGACAGGGACGGAATCATAATCGTGGCAGTTCTTGTGTTGTTGTCGGGCATGTTGAATTGCAGACGGGTGCATGACTTGCAGGCTGAGTGAAGCGTTGCCAATAGTGCCCTGGCTTTACTCCTCGTCATGTGGAGCTCCCGCAGGTCAGTACAGCTCGAGCAGCCTACGTACTGACCACCGTTTCCGGATCTGGCAACATTTTGCAATCCTTCGACCGCGAGGTGCCGCAGTTCACGTTTGTGTCTGTAGGTGGGCCCACCAGTTCCTGATTTGTTAGCAAGCAAAACCTAAGCTCTGAAACCTTGCCTGGGTTCGTCTGAGTGCGTGTCAAAACTCTGAGGCCATACAACCTCTTAAACCCCAATGTCCAAAGCCATAGTCCATAAACCCCCGATCCCCACTTTGGCTTACATTGCCCTGCTTCCAACTTGCTTGAGGGAAACCGATCCGTTACGGTTTGAGTGCTTTCGGGTAAGTATTCAGATTCCAATTCGTTTACTACAGGTTTTAGGATGCTTAGAGCGAAGCTTCACCAGAGGATCTGGGCACACGGAAAGATGCACGCTCGATCCTTCGGTGTGTTCTACCGATTTACGAGGCCCGCGAAGGAACCCAGAGCCACGACCATGAAGCACAACCTTGATCCGAAGACCCTATGAACCCGAAAGCCATCAAAAAAGCATACAAAAACACAGCCCTCAACCACTGCACTTAGGAGCCTTGAAGTTCCTAAACCTTAAAGCCTAAACCCAAAACTTCCCTGAACCTGTTCCAGCCCTGAAGACTCGAAGATGGTCCGGGACGCTAGGGCATAGGGGGGGGATTACTAGGTCTCATAGGCCATAGGAGCTTGAGGGTTTCGAGATCATGATGATTAGAACTGGTCTTAAGGTATAGTGGAGTTTAGTGGAGTTGCGGCTGGGGACTGTCGTTAGCAACTACTCCTTACTGAAACCTTCATGTGGGTTCCGTTGGCGTGCTGCTCCTAAGCCGAAAACCCTGAACCCGTAAATCTGCCCAAAGCCCCCAAAGCCTTAAATAAGCCCAAAGCCCGGAATAAAACCCTAAGCCCCCAAGGAAAGCCCGAGGCTTCCAGGACTCAGCTTCCGGTGTGAAGTTGTCCATGATCTTCCGGTTACGGGTTTAAGGTTCCCGTCGTTCAGCGTTACCAGGCGTCCTTGCACGCAAGCCTGCAGCAAAGGGTTTGGTTCAGTTTATAGGTTTTAATTCAGTGGTTAAGGTCTTATTTCTTTTGGGTTTAGGGGATCGAGAACCCACAATGGATTAGAACCCACAAGCACGCGTCACTTGTGGGAAACCTGTGTGGCCCACTGCTTCCCCGTCGCACGCCCAAATCGAAGCCTAAGCTTCATGTTAATAACTTAATAACTTTCATAGTGGAAATCTAACTGGCAACCATATGGAACAAAGTGGCAACGCCAATACTAGTTTGGGTTCCTTATGATTGTTCAACTAGCAGCTAGCAGGACCCTCTTACAATTCGGAAGCCCCCTGCATTTTAGAATCCTTATTGAAAGCTGTATAGAAACCCTTTACAGGAACCCGAGGAATCCCTTTAAAGGAGCCTTAGTCGAATGAGAACTTAAGGTCCCTATATTATCTCGTTGCGGTCTTGCGCAGGCAATGGTACCCCTCAGGTGTATGGCTTGCCCAGCACATCATCATGACTTCACACATTCACGCATGTTTACTCGTTTAAAAGTAGTCGTGAATTACTCACTACAGTAGCTACTTAGCTACCTACTCGCACAAAACGCCACACTGCTACATTCACATTACGGGCACGAATGTATGCACTCTGTGTCAAGCAAAGCCCTACGAAGACATACAGAGATTCCACATGCTCACAATCAGCTACATAGATGTGTACATTACGGTTCTGGAACGTGTGACGCGCCCCACTGTTGCGTGCGTTTCTTATTGCCGGGGTAGTCCTGAGGTGGTGCTATGTTCCCCGCAATCTATCTGCACGTTTCCACAGACAACCCTATACCCTAAACATGTGTTGCGCGTTTAGCGTCGATGCAGGAGCCAGCTCAGGTTCTACGTTCCTGAGCCATCGTTGCTGCGCGGTTCTCGTGAGCTCATGCCTACAGCTCGTGGAGTTCTAGAACCAATAGTTTTAGGATTTAGGATTTGGGGTTGATAGTTTCGGAAGGTTTATCGGGGCTACAGAAGCTTTTCAAAGGCGATCGAAGCTGAGAAGCCATTTTCTTCAGGAAGTTTCTCGGAGCTCAAGCCTCCATTCAGCAGTGCAAGCGTATCGAAGCTCGAAGCCATTCTCGGGAGATGTGTGCTGACAAGCAGCAGCAGTAACGTTAATAAAGCAAGCCACCTCAAAATGCATTTGAGTGACTCGAGCCTTGAAATGAATCCATAAGCCCTGAATCTTCAATTTCACGTGATGGGCCCGAAGCTGTACACTTGGAGCTCTGACTGAGGCCCAACGGGATAATGGGGGATGCCAGGGCGTGGATGCGCTCATCGATGTGAGGCCGGGCCTCAGACAAAGAGATGCAAAGATTTGGATACCCATGAAGGCTTCAGGGTGTAGGCCCTGTAAGGGCACAGGGTGTAGGGGTGAAGAGGTGGTGGAAGGGGTCCAAGTACTCAGCAGTACTTGCGTTCCAAGCAACTTCTGCGACCAGACGATGACAGCCGAATGCACGAACGCAAAAACCCTAAACCGTGCCTGCTGTCGCACACAAACGAGCTTTGGGCTCCAGTTCTGATTCAGCAGGAGGCGATGAGCGAAAAGCCCTGCTACAGGGGGTTTTAGGGCTTAGGGACTGGGCTTAGGGTTTGAAAGCTTGACACGTTCACGTAGTCGTTGGGGCTGAAGGTATGGCGTTCGGCTGCTGCAGGACATTTTGGGAAGCCAAGGCACCTTCAATCGTGTTTGTCTCGTCTAAAAAAGGCGCCTTAACAATTAGACTAGGGTTTGGGGTATATTATACTATAAATATAATAGGGAACCCCAAAGGCCCCTATAGTCTGGGGCCCGAATCAGCCGAAGACCCCTGAACGCAAAGCCTGTCAATGCGCGGATACCTCACAGATCCGAAGTTCGATCTGCCCAGGTGGAAGCTGTTGGGGCCCCGGCACCTGAATCAGGGACAGCTTCAGGTGGGTAGTCTGCGCTTTATGAGGCTTCTTGAAGGTCTATAGTCTATATCGTGTTTAGGTGGGAGGCTTCACCTACCCATAAGGGAAGCCACCCACCTGAAGCTTTCTTCTGCTAAAGCGATCTCGTATCGGTGCTGGATTTGCTTTTGAAGGATTGGAACATGTTGTTTGCCTAGCCACGTTTGCAGCCTAAGCCCAGTCGAGATGCCCTTCAGTCAGCCCGAACAGAATCCGGCATTTCAAAGCTAAGATTTTCCAAGATCCTGAGGTCACCTGCTCAAGCCAATGCTGGGGGCCTCAGTCGGATAAAGAGAGCAAGCCGCAAGTGCGTGGAGAGCACATGAACACAGACGCGCCCTCACTCAGCTCTGCCAGCTCGTAGCTCTGCCTTAGAGCCTTAGATCCCATCGGACGCTTTTTTCTTGACAGTCTCGGGCATGAGAGCTTGGTCTTTCCCCTGTGCCCTCCTGGCAGTTCACATTGGCTTCAGCTCGGCCGCCTTGGTGGATGTGGTCTATAACACCAATAATGCCTTCGCCGCGAAGTTGCAAGACGGCACCGTGGCGACTTGGGGTGATAGTGCCAGAGGCGGAGATTCCAGCAGCGTGAGCGACCAGTTGACCAATGTGGAGGTGATTGTCGGCAATTTGGAAGCCTTCGCCGCAAAAAAGCAGGACGGCACGGTGGTGGCCTGGGGAGATAGCAGGAAGGGTGGAGACTCCAGCAGTGTGAGTGGTCAGTTGACGAACGTGGAGGTGATCTACGCCGCCAGAAATGCCTTCGCCGCGAAGAAGACGGACGGCACTGTGGTTACTTGGGGTCTTAGTGGCTATGGTGGAGACTCCAGTAGCGTGAGTGCCCAGTTGACGAATGTGGAGGTGGTCTACGCCACGAGTGGAGCCTTCGCCGCGAAGAGGACGGACGGCTCCGTGGTTACTTGGGGTCTTCATGCCTTAGGTGGAGACTCCAGCAGCGTGAGTGCCCAGTTGACGAATGTGGAGGTGGTCTTTGTCAACAGCGGAGCCTTCGCCGCGAAGAAGGCGGACGGCACGGTGGTTACTTGGGGTGATGCGCAGGGTGGTGGATGGTACTCCGCCAGCGTGAGTGCCCAGTTGACGGATGTGGAGGTGATCTATGGCAACAGTGAAGCCTTCGCCGCGAAGAAGGCGGACGGCACAGTGGTTACTTGGGGTGCTGCAGCGATGGGCGGAGACTCCAGTGGGGTGAGCGGCCAATTGACGAATGTGGAGGTTATCTACGCCACAAGTGAGGCCTTCGCCGCGAAGAAGGCGGATGGCACGGTGGTTACTTGGGGTGATAGTTGTTGCGGTGGAGACTCCAGCAGTGTGAGTGGTCAGTTGACGAACGTGGTGGATATCTATGCCAACGAGCGCGCCTTCGCCGCGAAGAAGGCGGACGGCACCGTGGTGACCTGGGGGAGTGCTCCATATGGTGGAGACTCCACCAGCGTGAGTGCCCAGTTGACCAACGTGGAAGTGATCTACACCGCCACATATCCCTTCGAAGCAACTGGAGCGGCGTTCGCTGCCAAAAAGCTGGACGGCACCGTGGTGACATGGGGGAGTGCTAGTGCGGGCGGAGACTCCAGCGGGGTGAGTGACCAGTTGACCAACGTGGAGGTAATTGTCGGCAATGGCGGCTTCGGTGGCGGAGCCTTCGTTGCGAAGAAGCAAGACGGCAGTGTGGTGGCATGGGGTGCGGCCCATTATGGCGGAGATACCGGCACCTTGTTCGAGGTCTCCCGAGCTTCGCGACAGTGCATGCACAAAGGGATATTCTCTGTACTTTGTACGTCGTCATGCTCTTAATGGTATGATGACACCACCGCCCCAAGACACGCCGCACATTGTCCATGTAGAATCGATGATGAAGATGATGATGATCATGATGATGATCATGATGATGATGATGATAGTCGGACGGTAGCCTTCTCCCCTTTCGAGGTAGCTCTCCGCCCCCGCAAAAAGGCCCGCTATGCGGTCCGCCCGCCTGAAGAGGCCGAGCGCGAAGCCCAATCGCCTCCCAACAGACTTCTGGTGGCCCTTGCAGTAAGGCTTGACGAGGAGTGAGAGCACTTCCCGCCGCCAGTTGCTTGTCTTCCGTGTTCTCAAACTCAGCTGGCTACTCCTGTCCGCAGGCCTCGCAGTTCTTCCCCCTGAGTGGGTGTGGACCGTCCAGTTTGTCGCCCTTCTAGCAACACTGAGCTCGCTCAAGCGGCTGCAGTCTCAGCCCCCCTGCCAGCCTGCGTAGTCTCTGTCAACTCCGTCGTGTCCACGCCAGATGCAGCGGCTGCCTTGGCTGCTTCCTTGCATTGGCACTTTCGACGACGCTTGGCCCGAATGGCCTCGCGCCGTGCTCCCTCGTCATCACCATCGCAAAAGACGCCAGCAGGAGCCTGCTCAGGCTCTCGCGACTTTCGCCACTGCAGTGCCCGCTGCTCGAGCTGACAATGCGGCCAGCAACCGCAGCAACGGTATATACGCGTGGGCCCACGAGCACTGAAGGCGGCGCGAATCGTAGCTGCTACGAGTGCACGCTGCCCTATGGCCAACAAAATGCTGAGCAGCTGAGAAGCTCGGGGGACCTCAGCACAGCAGTCGCTTGCCGCTTCCACGCAGAATCGGGGATGTGACTGAGGCCAGAAGCGTGAAGCGGTCCAGGAAGGCAGAAACCTCAAATGGATGCATCTGTTGTACCAGCACAACACTCATTTGGGGGAGTGCCGATCCAGCTAATTGGCCTGAAAAGAAACGAGGTCGCCGTTTTTCGATCGTCATCTCGGGAGGTTTGCCGGTGCGTTTCCAACACGTCAACCTTCGATTCCCTAACCCCTGAAGCCAGAGCCCTGAACCCTAAACTCGGCATGATGCATGTGCTGCAGCAGAGACTCGTTTCGCAGGTCCCAACGACCACTACGACCACTACGACCACAACGACCACTACGACCTCGATTTACTCGACATCGGATGCACCCAGGATGAGAAAGTGCCTTTGTTGATTCTAGCTCAAGCATACGGACCAGCAACTAATGCTCAGGTTTCGTTGACGACCGCGACCACAACAACCTCGACCACCGATGCGTTGTTGTCGACGACCACAGCTTCCACGACGGCCGGTGCGGTACTTGCGGCCCTTTCCAATGAGCTGCAGGGCGATATGGCAGCCTTGGTGGGCCTCTTGGTGGAAGCCTGCGGTCAGGGCATAGGAGGGATTGCTGGAGAGCTTTAACAGCTTTTGCCCCTTCCGAAAATGGCAAGCGCCTCACTTCTTTGCTCGCAGAATGGCTTTCTTGTCAAGGTCAGCTGATGGCATCCGGGAGCCTGACAGCAAACGCGACTTCGGATCTGGGAACGGCAGCAGCTTTCCAGCCGTAGCCCCAGCTGTTCCGTGCTGCTCACGTAGGACTTCCCACATCCACATGGTAGACCATGGTAGCAAAAGCTGACGGAGATAGGACCACTGCCGCTCCAAGTTTGCTAGGTTAGTCGGTTCGGGAACAAGCGAAAGCTACACCGCCTTCACCGTGGAGGGCACCCCGGTTGCGACTGTGCTACCCCAAGAGGCCAGGCGGGTTGACTCGTTCACTGCTGTCAGTGGGGCGAAGATGCCATCACAGAGTGTCTTGAGTCTTGAGGCATTCCGAGAGATGGGCCCCAACAAGGCGCTGGTCCTCACGACCTTGGACGGGCCCGGGATCGAGGACGTGGACGCGCGCTACTTCTCGGCGGGCTGGAGGGCGCAAACGGAGAGCGGGCGGCCGCTGGAGGCTGCTGCGCCGGTCGTGGATGTTTCCATCGTGGACACCGGAACCCTGATGACCCAAGACGTCGCCGTCGAGGGGGCACTGATCTATGTAAGGGTGACAGAGCAAGAGCCACAGGCAAATTTCATGTGCGCCTACATGGCCGGTCCTGACTTCACTGTTTGGTCCACTCAGGGTGTTCGGCTGGCAACGGAAGCAGAGCTGGCTGACTTGGCCTTGCAGATTGGTTCTTCGAAGCTCTCCGGCACGTGGTGCGCCACGGAGCATCTTTCCATCTTCGGGGTTTTCCTGGACATTTTGTTGGATTGCACGCGGCTTGGCAGCATGGGAGGCCGTAGGTCGGGAACCCACAATGGGTGCAATTTGTGATGACTGCGGGAAACGTGTTGTTGTTTTATTGTTTTGTTTTCATGTCAAGGAATGCCAACATGCTGTCCGCGGAGGGGCTGAGTGAGATCGTCGAACGGGAGGGCTGGTTTTGGCGGCCACCGGCTTTGATGATGTGGCTGCTGTTGCTGGGCGCGCTGCTGCTCCTCGTCTTCGGTTGCCTCCAAGATGCACGGGTGCACAGCTCCGGGTTGTGGCGCGACGAGTTCTTCCTCGCGGACATGCCCCCAAAGAAAGGAGGCCTCGGAAGCCTCTGTGGGCTGTGTAAACAAGGCTCCGAAAGCCAACATTCTCAAGACCCTGCCGAAGAACCGAAGAAACAAGGGATTTCATCGCAGAGAAGCTGGAGAGCTCATCTCGAGAAGACCTCAAGCTTTCTTTCATCATGGAAGCGCGCTGCCAGCCTTTCCTCCTTACCCGAGGCTCGTCGTCAGCTCCTCCGTGCCCCAACCTTGGCTTTGCGGCTTCGCGAGCGACTCCTTTGCCAGAACACACTCTGGGAAGCGGCCCGAAGGTGTGGCCTGCACTGCAGCTCCATCGAGATGCACGTCTGGGGTCAGAAAGGCTGGGTCCAGGGGAGCGTGGCTGCACAGAAGTCGCCACAGCTGAAAGAGCTGGTCATGGCGCTGGATGAGGTGCTGCCCCAAGCTTTCCTGACTATCCACGCTTCTCGTTGGCGCCTGATCGGGACGGCTCTCCGAACGATGCACCCAGTCTACGAGCTCTCTTTGTGCGACCTTCACATGACTTCGACGAAACGAGCCAAGATCGTTGTGGACTGCATCCTCGGCTCGCTGTCGTTTGTGGCATTATTCTTCTCGGTGGACGGCACAGCTGTGGCCGCCAGGAGTCCATCGGAATGTCCCTTGCAACAGGGAACAGTGGTGTGGTACCTGTTCGTAGCTTTCTTCTCCGTGCTGCTGAGCTTTGTTCCCCGCAGTCTAGAGCTTTATTTTGCTCGCCGCAGCTTCGTGCCAGAGAGCCACGATCAGGCTCAGCAACTTCGGACAAGACGCCTCAGGGACGCAGGATTCTGGGTCTTCAGCACGTGCCTTGCGCTCCTCTACCTCCTTGTTATCATTGCTTTCCTGGCGAACCTGTCCGAGGCAGACGAGTGGAAGTGGATGTTTACCTTCTGGGTTGTGCTCCTGCGCAAGCTCTTTATCGTGCCTGTCTTGGCATGCCTCGTCTCGGGGCTTGGGAGCATGGCCGTCGGCACGGCCCCTCGGCCACCCAAGAAGTTCGGCTTGGACTTCTCCTCTCTTGGCGAAGGCGAAGGAGGCGAAGGAGAAGGAGGCCAGAAGAGCGAAGGGCAAGGTGGCGCTTGGTCAGAGAAGGTGCAGGAGCTGGCGGGCAGGGGCCTCACCATCCGCCAGCTGCTCGAGTTCTATGCCATGCTGGGCCGCGAGGTCATGGAGCACTTCAGCCCAGAAGAGTCGACCACACACGATGTGCCATGCTCAGAAATCTCTCGTCCATGCGTTCTAAGCCTAGATATATCAAGCGCACGACTTTTTTGAAGTGGCATCAAGCCACCGAAGCTGCTGTCCTCAGGTCGTGCGCCAGGCCATCATCCCGCTTTCCCTGCACATGAAACGGCGCCGCTTCGAGGTGGCCGTCTGTGAGACCGCGGCCTGCAAGAAGGCCCTCGATGCGCTTCGAAGCACTTCGGCCACTTCGGCCCCTGCCCTGGAGATCTGCGTGGCAAGGAAGGGCCTTGTCGGTGACAGGGCAGTGAGCTACGCGGTGATCTGGGACGAGGCCATCCTGGTGGAGGACCTCTGCCTCGACGACGGCCTGCTCTTCCGTGTCTCCGGTGAGAAGGAGCTCTCCCTAACCGTAGCGGCCACGGAGTTCTGGCAAGGCTTCAAGGGATCCTTCCGGCTGGACGGCTTGGAGCTGCACGTCCTGGCCTTGGCTTCCCTAGTTCGGCTTGCTTAGCGGAGTGTGAGCAACGGGCCGTGGGCCGCTGAGGTTACCATCTTGGTCAAATCCGACCTGGATGAGGTCCGATCCGAGCCGGAGGAGGGTGGCAACCAGGCGTCCGAGACAGAGGTGACAGGGCAGGGCTCAGGGCTCGGGAGGATAAGTCAGAAGATGTCAGAAGATGTCCGAAGCAGTGACAGTGTCGAAGCCTTGGGCAAAGCCGGTCACGTTGTTAGCCTGCGCTCATGAAGCCCAACAGCCCCACTCAAGCGCATGCGGGCAGGAGGTGACGGCGCAGGCACCGGAGGTGATGCCAAGTTCATCGAATGCTCCGCTTCCAGGTATCCTGGCTCAACAACTTGTGTGCATGGTTCGAGGCGGCCCAGTGGATGACACTTAAATTGAGTCGTTTGCTTGTCTCTTGGACTCTATTGGTTTCTGTTTCTTCTCTGCTTTTTTTTTTTTTTTTTTTTTTGCTGTTGATGCCGCCGCCGGTGCAGCTCCTGCTGCTGCTGGTGCTGTGGATACTATTGTTGTTGCTGGAGTTGTTGTTGATGTTGTTTTTGGTACAGACCAAAACAGCAGCCCGTAACTGTTGTTAACTAATAAGAAGCAGGCGGGAATGGCTGCGGCGACCGCATAGGGTGCCTGTAGAGTTTTGGGGAATGTGAGCCAGAGTTTGCGCAGCATCTGCCCCACGATAGAAATGCGGTGTAGGCTGAGTGGTTGTTGTAAACGGGGGGGGTGGTCAAAACAACAGACGGGGCTCCGGTTCTTGTCTCTACCAGCAGGTAGAGACAAAGGCCCCATTGAAATCAGGACTTTGTCTCTACCTGCTGGAAACAAAAACTGTAGCCCCGTTTGTTGTTTCGACCCCCCCCCGCCCCGCTTACAACAACCGCTCACGTTAAATGGGGGATTGACGGGCTTTATATTCTGATGTTGAAGGGCTTTAGTGGGAGTTTGAATGGCGTCAGAGGGATTTGAAGGGTGTTAAAATCTTTGGAAGTACGCACAAAATCCATGCAATTACACAAACTCTATGGAAATAGACGCAAAACTTTTGCAAATACACACGAAATCCAGAGCAATGCATACAACATCTTCGGAAATACATACAAAACTTCAAACAAGCACAACATCTGTGGAAACACGTGCAAACGCACAAAATCCATGGAAATACACACCAAATTCCTTGGACACACCTGCCAAATCCTTGCAAGTACACACCAAATCCCTGCAAATACACACCAAAGCTCCATGGACCTATGCTGAACATGCTGAAATTCCCTTGCAAATCATGCAAACCCTGTACACCAAGGCGGTGTGTTGTTGTTGTTGTTGTTGTTGTTGTTCTTGTTGTTGTTGTTGTTGTTGTAACAAACAACATGACGGGGCTCCTGTTTTCGTCTCTACCCTAATTTACAGACAAAAAGCAGATACGTGGGTTGAAGGGGCTGCAGTTGTTGGTTGTATTCTGTTTTTGTTGTTGCTGCTGCTGCTGCTGGTGTTGTTGTTGTTGTTGTTGTTGTTGTTGTTGTTGTTGTTGCTGCTGTTGGTGTTGTGGTTGTGGTTGTTGTTGTTGCGGTGGTGGTGATTGTAAATGTTTTTGTTGGGGGATACTGACCCTTTGCTTGTCAAGCTCTGGCCTCTGATGCAGTGCCTCGCCACTTCAGAGCTCCGGCATGTCGGAGATGTCGGTATAGTTCTGATAGACACGTAGCAAGTACAATGATGCGTCTAGTTCTTGCATGGTGTAGCCAAGTAGTCATGACTGACTTGCAGTATCTTGCTCATTTGCCGAGAATGTTTGATCTGCGGCTTCGCTGGCACGGACGAAGAGGTGAACGTTAAGATCCTTGCCGGGGGAGACCTGGTGGACTCTTCGCATTTCAGCAAAGGACGTGGGGGCGAGGAAGGAGCGTACGGGCATGCCTATGCAGCCACTGTGAACAGTGAACCGTGCATGCCGCTGAAGATGGTAACGCATAGCTGGCGCAATAAGTTTTCCTTCATCCTTGCGGCCATCCTCGCTGATGCCTTGAACAGTGAGAAGTATGATCAGATCGCTCAGCTCCTCGCAGAACGCCAGCTGGGAAAGATTGTCCGTGCCTTGCAGAAGGCAGGGAAGCTTGACACCGCCTATTGGATATGTGCGTTTTCGGTAAACCAGCACACCGGGATTTGCGCCACACCGCCAGCAACAGACTCCACGGGCCACGCAATCACTCCTTGCTGCTGCGCAACACCGAAGCACTTCGATGGAGACCTAAGCGCGACCTGGCTGTGTTTGGGAAGTCGGTTAGATGAAGGTCACTCGGAACTGTCTGCAAGTTGCGTGCAATATCTTGCTGTGAGATCTGGTGAGTCCTTGGATGTGCTTGGCGCGAAGATAATTACGAGATTCATTCACAATGTGCTTTAGACAGTACCAAGCAGCAGCATCTAAAGTCTAAAGCGCCAAAGCGCGAAACATAACGTTCTGAGGAGATGAACAAGTTTGACGATATGATGGCCTACCTCAAGACGTACTTGCGGGGACACGGCCAGGCAAGCTGGGTGCTCGGGATTCTTTTGTAATTTCATCTTTCTTCGCATAGAAGGAAGTGAGCACTCCCAGCTTATGTCACAACGAACTTTGCTGATGAACTGCCCGGCTTTAGCAACTTTGGCAACATGACGAGAGGGACGCGGAGCAACTGTATCACACCGTGGCATTAAGCACAGGTCGTAAGCTGTGTCTTGTGCACCTTTCTCAAGGCCTCGGCCGTTATCGCCAGTGCCCGAAGCCTTGATACAAACCGCTGCTGGAGGCTCGCCTGGAACAGGTGGTGGCCTTGGAGCAGGACTTCACCTTGCTCACCAGGGTGCTTTGGTTGAATTTGCGGAGCAAGCTCACCCAGCGACCCCTCGGCCCTAAAGTCAGAGGTGTGGTGTGTCGCGGAGCTTGTCGAAGCGCACGAGCTCCACTTGCAGCAAGCCACTTTGCTCGGAGGGCTGTGCAAGCGTTTCGGGTGCGGAGTTGAAGCGTTGTGAACTTAAGATCGGGCTGCTTTGTAGTTCGGATGTCCTGAGCTGCTCTGAAGGCTTTGAAGATACATTCGTCAGCCTCCAGGGATCAGTGCCTGGATCGCCTCGTCAGCTTGGATGTTCGAAAAGCCGAAGCCTCGTTTCCTGCGGACAAGGACTGGGAGTCCGATATTAGAGTGATCTTCCGCTTCGGGAGGGTCGCTCCTCCCGAAAATCCCTCTAACCCTTTGCAGGAGCTAGTGTTGGGGAAGATCACAGACGTGGATGGATTCAATAAAGACCTTCAACAGCTCATGCTGCATCGCCTGGAGGCTTTCCTGGGAAGTTAGGTGCATCAGTCTGCAGGCTAGGATTCTTTGGTTGGCTCTTAGAAGTGCTTAATGTAGGAACCTGATTAAGAAACCCTGGGCCTATAACCCCAAAATAGAAGGATTCGCAAAAGGAACCTTAATAAAGGCTCAAGGTTTCTCAATCAGGTTCCTACTTTAACTTGGCTTCAGAAGGTCCAGCAGCCCCCCCGGACTCAGGAAGGCTTCTTGCATGCAGAGCAGGTGAAGACTTTCGCGACCTTGCTTGACGAAGTGGTTCTGGCAGTTATCAGCGTGGCCATCTGACTGCAAGAGCCTGAGAGTCTGAAGGACTGAACCATTGAAAGTTTCTCTACATCACAGGCCCCTTTTGCGGATCCTCACTACGAGGAACTGATTGATAAATTAAAATAAAACCACAACGAAACGGGTTAATATTACAGCACTCTCTTCCTCTCTGTATATAAATGTAAGTGTGTGTACATGAGTATGTACAGATGCACACGCATGCGTACTCGCATGATTTATGTTCTCATATACATATTTACATATGTGTAGACGTACATCCGTGCGTCAGTACATGCATGCATTCATACAAATGACACCTGTAGGCGACTGCCACCGCTTCTTTTGTGCCTTGTGCTGTAGCTATTTTGGCCATGTGCAGTGGTACTGTTCAGATGTTTTCGGCACCATTGCTACTGGTTTCTGCTACTTCCACAGGCGCAGGTGCTTGTCACCAGATGACTTATGTCTACATAAGGTGGATCATTAGGGGACCGTGTTATTCGAGAGCTGCCTAGATGTCTTCTTCATTTGATTTGTTTCGTTCGGCTGCTCCGTGTTGAAAAAATACGGGGCCAAAGGCCAGAGCTTCCCTCCAGGCGACATGTTGTCAAAGAAACCCTAAGGGTGGGAAAGTATGATGAATTCGCCTTTGGGACTTTTCGCTGCCAGGCATGTGTCGATGCTCGAAGAGCTTCTTCCATGTTGACATGGAAAGTTCTAGTTTGTGGCTGACCTTATCAACTTCGATGCTCAAAGAGCTCGGTCTGCTGCTGATTTCTTTCCTGAAACACTTCGAGTGAACAGCCACACTTGGTGGTTGTTGGAGTGCACAGCGGGCCAAGTGGCTTTTCCAAGACCTCCCAGGCGGATTTGTCTTTTCGCGGACACTTTAACATGTCAAACGCGTTGCCGCTCGGACCCACTTGACCGATTCTTGGCACATCTTGGTGCCCTCCCCCACTATCAAGCTGACCTCTTAAGTCGTGAAATGAGCGCTGCCTGGCTTTCCCATTGATTCCGGTTGCAGGAGGAGGAGGAGGAGGAGCGCCTTCTTTGGGGGTCCTTGTGATAAGGATCCTACTATACTATTTTCGGAAACCCCGCTTCAGCGTGACGAAAACTCCAGATTCTAGATCCTGGCAAGGTGGCGGCTGTGGCAGCTGCGCCAATCACAAGGCCTGTGGGGTCGATCGTTTCGGGGTTCTCTACATGGACCCATGTGGGTGGTTGTCCGAAGTAGAGTCTCTTTTGGGTTCCCAGACTATAATGCCCTATCAAGATGTAGAATTACGTAGGGTGCCCTTTTGGGTTCCCAAACTATAATGCCGTAGTAAGATGGAGAGTAAGGTTACCCATACAAGGGTTTCATCAGCATTCCATAATATGGAGCTCCAGGGTTCTAGGTTTCTCGCGTGTAGGAGGTCAGGGAAGGGATGTTTAGCATTTGTTTACGGTTTGCATGTAGGGTGTGTTTAGGGCTTAGGGCGCTTAGGGAGGACTTTTTGTTTGTGGGGTTTAGGGCAAACGTCACCGCTAGGCGAAATCCTGCCAACTGCTGCCGGTGAGCAGGGTCAATGCGAGTCAAAGGGCTGCAGTTCCCGCTTGCCTTCAGAAGGCGGTTTCCCATGGACTTGGACCTATGCCTGCTCATCCCAAAAGGAGCCATGAGGTTTTTTTCGAAGACTTGCTTTCTCCTTTCAGCTCTCAAAGACTACTGACTCCCTCGCAGCTCCAACAGCCTTCATTGCTAAAACAACCATGAAGCGCAGGTCTTGTGCCCGATCTCAGGCAGGCGGCGACGGTAATTCCAGTAGAGTTGGGGGCTTGAAGCTTGCATCCATTTTAGCTTCATGGGAGCAACTCGAAACCTTTAAGCGGCCGTTCTTCAGGTTCCTGCGTTCTCATCGAGGCTTCCAAGACTCCCCGCAGAGTTCGAGAGCATGGAACAACGGCAAACCCGCCACACATTAGCTTAAAAAGCCCGATGCACAAGCCCCTGCACGAGTCGCCGCCATGAGCCTGAACACATATCTGGGTTCTTGTGAAGGAATTGCATTGCGTTTGATTTATACCCAGGAAACCGTATGAAACCCTATTATGTACTGTGGATCCTTGTTGTGTTCACTTCATCTAACTTCCTTAAGCAGGAACCGCTCCCTAAGAGCTCTTGCAAAGAGGCCGCTGCCCGAAACCGAAGAATGAGACGCAGGGCATGGTCCCGAGCTTTGCACGGGCAAGCATCTTCAATAATGTAAGGGCCTGAATAGTTGCCAATACTACTTTGGGGGCCACGAAACCCTATTCTAATTAAGACCACTCTATTACACAGTGGTAGTGACACCTCTCCTTGTTTACGCTTTCGTTCTAAAGAAATTAGGGCTTGGAAGGGCATTGCTGTGGTTTTGTTTCGGCATGTTTCGCTGCCACGCCACCGCCACCACGACGACTACCGCTGTTCTTACAGCTGCCGCTGCGGCTGCCGCGGCTGCTGCTGCTGCTGCTGCTGCTGCTACGTCTATGCCCACCACTGCGACTACAGCTGCCATCACAACTGCGGCTGGTGTTGCGCACAGAGCAGATTAACAAAGCGATGATAATGTGGCGGCTCAAATAATAGGCCCCCCCACCCCCCCCGCGGACCGGGTTCAGGGTCTGGGTGGGTTTGATTTTAAGTTAGAAGGAAATTGGGGGTCCAGGAGGTTTGGGGAGGGCTTGGGGGGCGGGGTTTGCGGTACTCCGCGGATGCCCGGGTCGAGGTCGGGATACCATAAGCTCGAAACCAAGCCCCGATCGAATAGAAAAAGCAATGCATTAAAGAGGCCCACCGGATTAAATAAGCCGCCAGATCACATATACATATTTATATATATTCATGATTCCTGTGTACGGATATACGAAACTTATAACTTACTCACAACACATGAAAGCACGGTGCCACGTGCCCAGTTTGAGGGCTTGAGGGGTTTTGGGCTTCGGGTTAAGGGCACTATGTTGAGGGGTGTGGCGATTGAGCTGAGGAGTTTGTGGATTGGGTTTTGGATCCCAGGATACAGGGCCCGTCAGCGTTGTTTAACCGTTCCTAGATGATTTCTCTGATCTTTCGTCTCCGTACTGTCATGACAAGGATGCTTGCTGTTGCTTTTTGTGATCAGATCCTCGGGCTTTATATGATTTTTGCAGCTGTTGGGGACGAGGGTTTAAGGCCCCAAGCCCGGATGTTGAGTAGCGAATGCTTTGGGGGCATTTTGCTCACGCAGTGAGAGGTTCCGGGCACAGAGCTAAACCCTCACGACCTTGGCGTCACTTGCGTGGGAGTTGAAAGTTTGCGGTGTAGTAGTTTGAGGAATACAACGCATCTGTAGTATCAATGCCCAATAGCAGCAGAAGAAGAGTAGGACTCGGAGTAGGGGTGCAAGTCGCGTTTCTGGTCCTCGCCGTCTCGTAGCAGTACCAGGTACCACCAGACGAGCAATGGCAGCAGCAACAGCAATAGCCCCGGTGAGTATGGGAGAGTACCAAGACTGTCAGTGGTCATCGAAATGGAACCTTAATTATTGTGTAGGAGACTGGTACCAGTCAGCATGGCAATATGCTTGCATAGATGCCAGTGTTCATCATCCACATAGATGACAACAACAATACTAGTCAGCGCCACCTCCAGAGTCAGCACAGTCGTGACCTGCGACCATTTCAACCGAAGCCAGGAAAAGACACACAAGCAGCTGCGATGGCTATCGTCAAGCTTGTCACCAGCGTCAGCAATGTCAGCGTGCAGTGGTTCCTGTCAGCATTATCACCAGCATCATCGACTATCGGCGGAAGTTTGCTGCACCTTCAGCTCAACAGCATCAAGATCATCGCCAGTGTCACCTACACCAGCCTCACAAGTCATGACAGGTCTGGAGTCTGGAGTGCCTGTCTCTGGGTCGTTCTCTGAAGGTCAATGCAATCAAGACCGAAGAGAAGGCAGGGGGACATCGGGCCGAATGTTGGACGGGCTTACTGGTTTAGGCAGACCACTTGCACTGACAGAGTCCGGTCGTTGGAGTCATGACTTGCCACCATGTTATGAGGGGGACTGCAAAGGAGCAAATTCAGGACCACAGATCCAGAAAAACATTGCACGTGAGCGGCATGAGAGACTCGAATCAGAACTCATCCATGACACGTCGGAGGGTCGTACTCATCACGCCCCTCAACTTTAGATCCTGTTGTAAACGAAGATTCAGAGCATCTCGTTGGAGTTGAAGAGACTGCGGGATTGTTGTAAGCGGGACTTCAGCAGCAGAGTCAGCAGCAGCATCATGGTGTATGAGCCAAAGATCACGATTGTTGCAAGCAGATTGCACCTTCCTGCGTGCCTTGACGCCGGTGAGTACGCACATTCGGTGTAGGATGATTTCGGGTTCGTTCATCGCCATTCCGACCCCAGGAAACCCAGACCGTCGAGACCCGGATGGCCGAGCACTTGAGAAGGGTCTAGTGCAAAATAGGGCTTCAGGCTTGTAGGGATGTTGGGGCGTTGGGACGTTGTGAAGCTTCAGTGCTTTAGGGTGTGCTCGTTTGGGGGCCAGTCGGGTTTACTTTTCGTGCGCGTTCGCCAGTTACGGATTCGAAGTGAAAGGTTCAGGATGTTGGATGCTGCATACGGTTGATGATCTAAATCCTGCTTTACCCGTTATCAGGAATATAGCATAAGACTTCCCATAGTCTAGGGTCATTAAAGGTAATGCAGGATTTCAGTTGTCAAAATTAATGTCCCTTTTTGTGTTGGGGTAGGCGGGTGAAAGTAATCGGGAGGAAGCTTTGGATGAGTCATGGCAGCTCGGCAGTAGCTAGGGAGCAGTTCGGGAGTGGTTTGGGAAGACATTTTGAGCACAAACAAGAACCCTGATTACTGATTTCGCTACAATACCATATAGAATCCTACACAACACATGCTTGCAATGCAAATAGAAAGTTGCGTTTACATGTACATGTAGGCCAGAAGCAGCAACAGTTAGTCCACAGAGCCACTC